AGCTGAGAGCTGGCTCCAGCTCTGAGCCTGGCTCTAGCTCTGAGGCCGTAGCTGGCTGAAAGCTGGTATCTGGGGTTTGTTTAGCTTCTATAATTGCAACATTGTTGCTTCTGGAGCTCAGAGCTGGGCCGCGGCAGGTGGAAACCTTGGCTTCCTCCATCACTGGAGCAAGCAAGCCTCATGTTTGCTTCAGCTGCGTGGCTGCCGGCCGCCATCTTTGTTGGCAGTTAATTTGCATATCCTGCTGATTAGCCAATGGGAAGCGTAGCGGAGGTATGGTTAATTACCATGTTTGTCTATTATTAGATAGAACTAAGACTCTCCCTCAGTCTGCCCTGCATCCTCTCCATCTGGGACCCTCGGACATCCTGTCACAAATCCAGGACCGCTGCTCCTAACTGCTCACCTGCCAGCCTGCCTGCTCACCCCTAACCACTCTGCCTGCCTGCCTGCTCTCCCCTGCTGGCCTGATTGCCCCTAACTGCTCTCCCCTGCAAGCTTGATCGCCCCTAACCACCTCTGCCTCATCCCCGCCACTGTGGCTTTGTCCGGAAGGACGTCTGGTCTAATGAGCATATTACCCTTTTATTAGTATAGAAAGATAGTTTAATAACTGTGTGATTCTGTGTAATGCCTTCTCTATTTATTTTACATACCTTTATGCATTTTACTTACTCTTATGTATTTTTCTTATTTGATAGGATTTTAATTCCTTCTTTGGGCTCCATAGTAATCTTTGTCTCAGATGCTTAATACATATGCTGTTTTCTTCATTTATTTTATGCAAGAAAAATGTTCATTTTGTTTATTAACATCTAATGTTTTAAACATATTCCCGAAAAAATGAAATTTTCCATTTTTAAACCCATTTTAGTGGTTTGCCCATCTCAGCTGCAATATTTATATTAAATTATCCTGTATTTCCCTGATTTCCCTTTCTTCCTGTTTGTCAGTAACAAAAATAAAGCTAGAATTTATCTATCCCTTCTGTTAGATCATTTTCTTACTTATTTGCCTTAGTAATAAAATGAAATTACTATTGATGCCAAATCTTGTCAATTATCTAGTTAGCCTGCCATATTCATTGTTTCTTTTCATCCTGTTTTCTCTTTTTAAATTCTGTTCACAATCTTTCTTTTGTATGTGAAAGATCTCTTTATTGAAAATTCACTTTAAACCTCTTCTTCCGAAAAACTAGATTGACAGAAATCATGAATTATTTCAAAACAGAAAGTAGTAGTCATCTTTTTTTTACTTGGTACATTGGTAAGTAGTTGGGAAGGAACCATATCTTTTCCTTTTCCTTTTCAGAATATACTTACTTTTTTTGGTTCAGGAGTATGTGTTAGTTATCAAGCAATGTAAAAAGTTTGCATTTAACTGACTGAAAGTTAGAGATCTTATTGAGAACATGTAACTTTAAAAATATAGAAATGAAGAAAAGCCCACAGGGTACATTTAAGAAATGTGTATAATTGAGAGGTTTTTTTAAAAATCTGTTGCCGCTTTCTAAAACCACCAAAGTGTAGATTATGAATTGTTTATATGGTTTTCTTTAATTTAGGAAGTAAGAAAAGTAGCACCAATGTTCCTCATACAGCAAATCAGGGGAAAAATAGGGAATGTGAAAAAGAAAATTTTTCAAATGGATCCAGGAAGAACAGTCTTGTACTTGAAGAAGTGACTTTGACTGTCACAAGAAGTCAAAGAATTTCCAGGCGTCCATCTGATTGGTGGATGGTAAAATCAGACCAAAGTAAGTATTTTTATTTAAATTGTTTATTAGGAGTGCCCCAAAAATCATTCCTTAAGAGGCTTTATGTTGATTTATATATACTTTCATTCTCCAGAGAAAATCTATTGACAAAGAAATTGGGTCATCAATAGAAATATTACATCAGCTAATTATAAAAATATTCACTGAGGCTCTATCATGTACAATATTCTAGATGTAGGGATACGTCTATGGAAAAACAAAACAAAAAGCAAAATCTAGCTTTCTGTGGACTTACATTCTAGTGGGAGAAGACCAACAATATAGATATGTAATTCATGAAGTTATGAGATAATAAAAAAAAGGAAGATAAAGGGTAGAGATGGGAAATAGATGGCAGGGTGGGGGTGGATAAGAGAATAGAGCATAATACTGTTTTATAGAAGGTCATGATGAGAATCTCTCATGATCTTTCAGAGCACATATGTGAAAAAAGTGAAGGAGGGAGTCATATAAATAACTTTGTGAAGCATTCTACACCAAGGGAATAGTATCTGTATAGGTGCTAATGGAGCATGCTTGGCATGTTTGAGGAAGGTCAAGAAGGCCAGCATGGCTAAAGAAGAGTAAGCCAGGGGAGATGAATTCAGAGAGGCAGGCAATGATAAAGTTTAGATGAAGTGTATTAGGATGCTACTAGAGGATTTAAATGGTAAAGTGACTTGATTGACTTCTCTTTTAACATGATTAGTCTTATTGCTATGTACAGAGCAAACTAGGGCTGGGTCAAAAATGGAAGCATGGACCCTAGTTAAATTGTTGGAGGGAAGAAATGAAAAAGTTGAATTCATATTTTTATTTTTTTAATATATTTTTATTGATTTTAGATAGAAAAGGAGAGGGAGGGAGGGAAGGAGGGAGGGAGCGAGAAAGAGAGAGAAAGATCAATGATGAGAGAGAATCATTGATCGGCTGCTTCCTGCATGCTCCACACTGGGGATCGAGCCTATAACCTGGGCATGTGCCCTGACTGGGCATTGAATAGTGACTTCCTGGTTCATAAATCGACGCTCAGCCGCTGAGCCATGCCGGCTGGGCTGGATTCATATTTTAGAAGGTAACTCACAGGAACTACTGAAGGATTAGAGTTAGAAAGAGTCTAGGATGACTTAGGTTTTTGTTTTTTGTTTTTTTCCTGAACAAGTAGAAGAATAGGGCTCTGTTATGAACTGAGATGAGAAAAGGTGTGAAGAAGCAGATTTGGGAAGGATATCAGGATTTCAGGTTATATTATATTAATTTGAAATCAAAGCAGATATATTGAGGAGATAGCCTGATAAATGAGTTTTAAGTTAGGTGGAAAGATCTGGGAAGACATATAATTAGGAAGTTATCAATATATAGGTGATACTTAAAACTTTGAAACTGCTTGAAATCACTTAGTAATGTATTGTACTTAGTGAAGAAAGAAAGCCAAGGATTGAGTCCTGGGAGACTTCAGTATTAGGAGTCAGGAAGGGATAGGAAGATCTGTCAAATGATACTGAAAAGGAACAATTAGTGAGATTAAAGGAAAATGAGAACTTAGGGTAACAGAAGTCATTTTAAGGAATGAGTGATGACTGTTTTAAATACTGCTGGTAGTTTGCATTAGATGAGAGCTAAGAATCAACAGTATGGTTTTGGCAACATGGATGTTGTTGGTCACCTATATAAAAATAGTTTTTGTGGAATGATGAGATCAAAAGCCTGGTTGGAGTGGAGTCCAAGAGAGAATAGGAGGTGAGGAAGGAAAGATAAGGGGTCATAACAGATGTAGAGTTAAGGAAAGATTCTTTTTTTTTTTTTTTTAATATTGAAGATATTACATCAGCTTATCTACTTATTTAAGATGACCTTGTAGGGCCTGCCCAATGTGGATCAGCGGTTGAGCATCCCCCTATAAATCGGAAGGTCATGGTTTGATTCCCTGTCAGGGCACATGTGCGGGTTGTGGGCTCCATCTCCAGTAGGGGGCCTGCAGGAGGCAGCCGATCAATGATTCTCCCTCATAATTGATGTTTCTGTCTCTCTCTTCCTTACCCTCTCTAAAATCAATAAAAATATACTTTAAAAGATAAGATTACCTTGTAGGAAGGTAGAGGATAAATACAGGATCACAGTCCTTGAGTAAGCAAGGTGCAGATGTTATCTAGTGCACAGTACAAGGATTATTCCTAGACAGGAGCCAGGACAATGTGTCATGTAAAAGAGGAAAAGTAGAGTATTGGGGAGAGATGGAAGTAGGTTGGTAGCATTGATGGTGGGAAGATGTACGCTTCTGATCATGTTTGTTTTCTCAGTAAAATGGTAAGCAAGGTTATTAGGTAGAAGTGAAGTGAGAGAGGCAATAATGGAATTTTGACGTTTCTTTACAGGGAAAGGATAGAAAGCAAAATCAGCAGAGAAAAAGTGCATGGGCAAAGTCTGAAGGAAATCCAGTTAGACTTTCCAAGAGTCTTCTCCTAGTCAGGAGGCACTTAATTCCTCCAGCAATGAGTGATGATAGATGTGTGAAATATTCACTAGAAATTGGGAAGGGAATTAGAGTTGAGTGCACAAGGTTTTCTGGGGGTGGTCACCTAGGTATCCTCTGCTAGCAACTATTAAAATTCCAGGCTCCCTGAAGGAAAACAGATATTTTGCACAAGTTGTATGTTTTGCACAAGCATTTTAGGCATACTAAACCACACTTATCAGTTAGGAAATGATGGGAACTCTTTTGAAATTCAAGTTCTGACATGTTAGCAAGGGCTTTCTTTGCAAGCAGGCATTTCTATAAAGATTCTTGAGCCTCCTATGCCAAATCTTTTCTGTACAGCATGAAACATTTTTTGTTTTGTAAAAAACTTTATTTTAAAGGAAGTGGTTATGTAAAGATTGGTAGATGACAAGGTAACATTTACATATACAGATACTATCAATGGTGGCACATTTAGATCAATAGTGAGAGACTAGTACAAATATGGCCCTACATCTATGAGGTCTTATTGCTATGAATTTTTGAATTGTTGGGATCTTTGATTAATAGTAAGAAATATTTATTCTGTTGAAGCCTTCCTTAGATTTTGGAGTTATCTTGAGTTCAAATTATGATTCCTCTACTTTGAGTAGATTACTTTGCTCAGTTGCTAACTCTATAACCTACGATTGACAGTACTTCTATCTCCTTAAGTTGTTATAAGGATTAAATTGCATATAGTTAGTATTAAAATGTTAAATATTACTGTTACTCCTTTGGAGAACTCATTGATGTTTCTCTCTCCCTCTCTGAAATCAATAAAAGTATATTTAAAAAAAAAGAAATGATGAGGGTCCCTGTTATTGACAGGCAGAAGAGCATAAAAGAAGCAGATTTGAGAGGCATTACAAAAGGAGAATGGAGAGGGTTTAGGGATTGATTGTGGATAGGGGCAGGAGTCTTGGATGACTTGGATTTCTGCTTCAGGTAGCTGGGTAGATAGTTTTACTTTTCATTAAGACAGGAACCAAAACCAAAGGGGCAGGTACATGCTAGAAGATAATAGCATTTAGATAGTAATTAAAGTTATAGATACATAGGTGCCTCAAAGAATGTACGTAGAGTGAGAAGATGAAGCTGGAACCTTGGGGAATACCAGGAACATAAGGATAGCTAGAAGAGTATTAGGCAGGCCAGAGAGGGTGGTTTTGGAAGCTTGTGATAAATTTAGAGTTTCATGCATGTATCAAGAAATGGAAGAGAAGTATAGTTTATGAATTTAATTTGAAAACAAATGTAGGCAATGGGATTGGTGTGTGTGTGTTTATATGTAAATATAATTAATGTTAATATTTCAGTGAGCCAGATCATCTGGATAAATAGTATGTTAACTTTAAGTTATCATTGATTCTTTCAGGTCTTTTTTATAGCAGTACTTCAGTAAGGAATGAATTGCCAGTACATGACAACAGTGGGCGAAAATCTGCTAAAAAAACAAATCAATCATCTAAGAATATTGGGGGAAAAACTGTTCCATTCAAAGGACGGAAGAAAACTACAGGCCGCTCAAAAACACAGAAGACTTTAAATGCAAAAGATTCGAGAAGAATTATTGACCATAATGAAATTTCTGGATCTTCCCCGAATGAATATTTGGAATGTGATGAGGCAGACATGGCTAAAAAGAAAGATGCTGATCATTCTGGGTAATGTCTGTTATTATTAAAGATAGTTATTTTTGTTGTTCAGCATTTAATAGTTTGTCTATGTTGTCTGATCATTTATAGAAAAGCAGTTTAGCATAAAGGGCTCTGCAGCCTGACAGAAACGGTAGCCAGGCTCTGCCATAGCTGGGTGACGCCCCAGGCAAAGTAGTGCTCTGAATTTATTTGCTCATATTTAAATGGCATTTAATATTTGGCACAGGGGAGATGAGTGATAAATAAGGTAAGTATTATTGTTGCCTGAGAGTTGCTTTTTTTATTGTGATAAAAAACATAACAGAACATTTATCATCTTAATCATTTTTAAGTATACAGTATAATTTGCTTCCTTTTAAATGAAGTTAATGTGATTTTCATAATTAGGAAAACATCATAATACTCCTCCTAAGATGATAATAATTAACATATTGAGTGCTTATCATGTACCAAGTACTTGCTAGATGCTTTCATTGAATTCTCATCAGTCCTAACAACGTAGAGAATTAAGTATTGGGTTTTTTTATAGTTTTAATTTTCAAGGCACCTTATTTTTAGAAGAGACTTTTGGCCTGTAAATATTGTTCTTATGCATTTTTGCTTATGATATAGCATTCTTTCATTCATTCAACAAATAATACATATTATGTGTAAGAAACTGCAAGATGATGTGGATATACCGAAATAAATAATAGAGTGCCCTAAAATATATTAGTGTATGTCGTATGGTACCAAAAGAAATCCCATACACATTCTATTTAACTTGTTCACACCATTCTCATATCTTCTTTCTCAGTCAGTTTCTTTCTTTAACTGAAATATTTTATATATACAAAACAAAGTAACACCTGATTCTCCATGATCTCACTTAAGAAATAAAACATTATAGTGACTGTTGAAATCTCACATGTGCCTTTGTTGAGCCCATTCTTCTTTCCCTTGTTAGAGGTAGTCACTACACTGAATTTGGTAGATATCACTATCATGGATGTTTTTATATTTTTTCCTACATGTACATGTATATATAAATAGCATGCCATATTGTTTTAAAACTATGTAAAAATGGTTTCAGATTGTACATATCCTACTCTATCTTCTTTCTTCCACTGTTCATTATATACTTCTGAGATTATTCATGTTGATAAATGATTTATTTTCATTCCTTTATAGTGGAGCTTTGCAAACTTTCCTTAAAGGGCCAGATAGAAAATCAAGGCTGTTATGTAAATACTTAAAAAACCATTTAAAATGTAACCTTTACAAAATGTAAAAATTATTCTTAGCTCTTGGGACTTAAAAAAAACAAGTGGCTGGTTGAATTTATAGTATCATTTTATATGGGCATATGAAAATGTATTCTGATTCTAGCCTCTTGATAAGGTTTTCTAATTTTTCACTATTAGAAACAATTTTTCCGTGGACATTTTATATATGTTTTCTTGTGTACCTGAGTAAGAGGTTTCCTGTAGCATTATATATACCAAGAAATAGGCTGACTAGGGGTATCAAAGAAAACAATTTCAGTTGTTGGTAAATTTTCTAAAACACTGTGATAGATTAACTGTTGTATACATCATAAAATGCCCGTAGATAATGTCTTCTGTGTCCTCATTTCCATCTTAGGCCAGGTGTGTGCCATTTTTCTTATCAGAATTTTTCAAATTAGAACTTTCTTGATAGGTCCTTAAATCAAATGTCCTTCCTGGGCTAATTGTAAGTCCTAGGACCTGAACAGGCTTAGCTGTTATTGTTAACAATATTGTCTACCCACCTGTATGTTGTTTCTGGAAGAAATATTTTTATGAAGAATGTAAATAATTACAAACTTTTCGTTTTTATAGAGTTGCAGGAAGCTCAAAAGATGAAGATAGTGTTATGACCGCTAAAAATGTTCATCTAAAACCTCAGAGCAGTGGACATCCATGCAAGACACCAGCAGAGTCTGACTCTGATTTTGAAGAACCTAAAACTTTAGTTTTGGAAGGAAGGTATGCATATGTTCTAAGGATCATAGGATTTACTCATTATATTAGTTATTCATTGCTGTGTAACCAATTGCCTCAGCTTAATAGTGGCTTGCAAACATTTATTGTTTCATAGTTTCTGTGGGTCAGAAATCTGGGATCAGCTTAGTTGGCTAGTTCTTCCTCAAGAATTCTCCTGAGGTATTGTATTCAAGATATCTGTCTGGTGTGTAGTCCTTTGAAGGCTTGACTGGAACCTGAGGATTTACTTACAAGGTGGCTCCTCCGTATGGCTGTAAGCTGGAGGCCCCAGTTTCTTGCAATTTGGTCCTCTCCATAGGGCTATTCAATATGGCAGCTAGCTCCTCACAAAGCAAGTGATCTAAGAAAAAATATGACTTCAGTGAAGGTCAGAGTGTCTTTTAATGTCTCTGAAGTTGCACACTGTCATCTCCACTTTATTCTCTTCATTAGAAACAAGGCACTAAGTCTAGACCACATTCAAGGAGAAGAGAATTAGGCCCTGCCTCTTGAAAGGAATTCCACAAATTCTTCAATATGGTATACTCAGGGAGCAAACCAGTTAACCTATTCTTATAATATCTGAAGTCATATACCCTTTTTAAAAATGAAGGAATGATAAATTATAGCAGATTCTGAGATTTAAGGGATAGCTAAGAGTTCTTTACTATTTGGTGGGTTATGACTGCAAGGCCTATAATAGGTTTGTAATAGGAGGAAAGGGATCTAGGACTGAGATAAGCTAAATCATCTTTTATAATTTCTGGACTATATTTTAAATTCCTTCTTTTGTAGTAGTATTTTAAAAAATTAAGCTGATTTATGTCTACTTTTATTTCTTATAATTATTTTTATCAAAATGTTATTTGATAAGAGTTAAATTCATAACTCTGGTCCATGCGTTACTTTAAAGGCTATAAAACTCAGAATTTATCATGTTTGACAGTCAGTTATAGATTTAAATTGTAGATTCTTTGTTTTATGCAGCAAGTAAGTATATTGATAACCTATAATATTGCTATTGCTTTATAAGAAAGAAATCTTTTGTCAGTTTTAGGAGAAAAATTACCTTTAAGATAGATTATTAGATATATGAATTATGAAAGCACAGACTTTATGGTTTGCATTTTTTTTTCTTAAGTGGACCTTTCAGACTCAAGAATTATTTAATGTCTGGAAAGAATAATTCAGATGTAGATGATGAGGAAGTTCAGGAAAATTCAGGTAAGTTATTCTCTACTGTCTTAATTTTTTATGACATCATACATATGGAAATAGGTGTGCTGTGTTTTTATTTAAATTAGCACCAATGGCAAATGTGTTTTAAATACTTACTCTTTTTTTAAAACTGAATCTTTATTGTTCAGATTATTACAGTTGTTCCTCTTTTTTACCCCCATAGCTCCCCTTCACCCGGATCCCACCCCACCCTCTGCTCTTACCCGCCCCCCCACTGTCCTCACCCATTGGTGTATGATTTTTGTCCATTCTCTCCTTCTTCCTCCTTCCTCCTCCTCACTCCTCCTCCTCCTCCTTCCTCCTCCCTCCTCCTCCTTCCTCCTCCTCCTCCTCTTCCCCTTCCCCTTCTTAAAGGATACCTTTCAGCATTTCATATAAAATTGGTTTGGTGGTGATGAACTCCTTTAGCTCTTTCTTATCTGTGAAGCTCTTTATCTGGCCTTCACTTCTGAATGATAGCTTTGCTGGATAAAGTAATCTTGGTTGTAGGTTCTTGGTATTCATCACTTTGAATATTTCTTGCCACTCCCTTCTGGCCTGCATAGTTTCTGTTGAGAAATCAGCTGACAATTGTATGGGTACTCCCTTGTAGGTAACTTACTGTTTTTCTCTTGCTGCTTTTAAAATTCTCTCTTTGTCTTTTGCTCTTGGCATTTTAATTATGATGTGTCTTGGTGTGGTCCTCTTTGGATTCCTTTTGTTTGGGGTTCTCTGCACTTCTTGGACTTGTAAGTCTATTTCTTTCACCAGGTGGGGGAAGTTTTCTGTCATTATTTCTTCAAATAGGTTTTCAGTATCTTGCTCTCTCTCTTTTTCTGGCACCCCCATAATTTGGATGTTGGTACGCTTGAAGTTGTCCCAGAGGCTCCTTACACTATCTTCATATTTTTGGATTCTTTTTTTTTTTTTTGTTTTTCCGATTGGGCGTTTTTTGATTTTTCGTATATCAAATCTTTGACTTGATTCTTGCTATCCTCTAGTCTGCTGTTGGATCTCTGTATAATATTCTTTATTTCAGGCAGTGTATACTTAATTTCTAGTGGGTCCTTTATTATATCCTCGAGGGTCTCATTAGATTTATGGAGGGTCTCACTAAATTTACGGCGGTTTCTAGAAAATTCTTGAAAAACCTTATAACCGGGGTTTTGAACTCTATCCAGTTTGCTTTCCTCCATTTCTGTCATTTGTGACCTGTTTCTTTGTCTCCGAATTTTGGCTACTTCCCTGTGTTGATAGAGTGGCTTTCTGTGCTAGGTGTCCTATAGGGCCCAGTGGCTCAGCCTCCCAATTACCTGAGGTGGACACTCTTGGTGCACCCCTTTGTGGGCTGTGTGCACAGTCATGTTGTAGTTAAGCCTTGATTGTTGTAGGTAACACTGGGAGGAATTGACCTTCAGGCCAATTGGCTGTGAGAATCAGCTGTGTTTACGGTGGGAGAACTTCTGTGCTGGAGACACCCTTATGGGGCAAGATTGCTTCAGTGGGGCTTTGGTGCTCACTGAGTCTGCCCCCTGAGTGTGTCCCTTATGATCTGAGGAGTTGTAATCTGGATGGTTCCACTCTGACCACTGAGTACACTGGCTCTTGGATCTCTAAGAAGGTACTAATCTAGCCTCTGCCTGAGGCTACCCAGCAGGAGCTACAGAGAGATCTGCAGATTCCTCTTCTTGGTTTGGGATTTGGAGGTGCCCAGATAAGGCCCAGCTATGATGCAATGCAAGCTGCTGTGGGGTCTTGGGCCTTCTTTTGGATTTTCTGGGTCTCTCTGACCCAGCTGCAGTTTGCTAGGTAATTTTAGATTGCAAAGGGCCAGGCCTTTCATATGCAAAAGCCTCCGTGCACAGCTTGGATGGGGCGGGGTCTCAGGGAATCAACAGGGCAAAGCAAACAGCTATGGCTGATCCTCAGTCCTGCCCTAAGAGGCCCCGGGTCTCAGTGTCCCGAAGTAATCGCTGCAAGCACGTCTGAGAGAAAGCCGACCTTGAGTTCTGCCCGATGCCAGACAGTCCAGTTTTTCCCCATATGAGTCTGGGTCCCCAGAGACTCGCCTGGAACTGGAGTTCAGAGCAGTCAGGAGCTTGAGACTCCCTCCCGATTCAAAAAGACAGCCGCGTCCTCAGTTGCCAGTCCTTTCCATATGCGCCTTCGTACCTCTGCACTTTACTTCCGCACCTCCTCTGAGTCTCAGTGTGCTTTTCTCTTTCCTTCTAGTTGTAGAATTTCCACTCAGCCAGCCTTCCTGTGGTTCTGGATGATGTCCGTTTTGTCTTTCAGTTGTATTTTTGAAGTGGTTGTGTGAGGCAGCAATTTCAGGTGTTTACCTATGCCGCCATCTTGGTTTCTCCAAGCTTTTCATTCTTTAGAATGACCTTGAACCTGGGTCTCTTTGATGTTTCCTTATGATCAGCTGCCAGCCATGTACATGTGACAGAATACTACAGAAATAATGCTTGTTCTTTGCGCATGATGTTAGAAGGTTCACAATGTTGCTCCATCTCCTACTGGTGATATTAGTCTTGATCACCTACTCAAGTTATTGCCAGATTTCTCCACTCTAAAGATAAAAATTTTCTTTCATAATTGAAAAGTGTTTTGTGGAGTGATGCTCTGATACTGTTTTAATAATTTGTTTCTTCTCAAACTTCCACACCAATCTTAGCATCTATTAACATTCCCACCTGAACCATCAGCCATTAGTGATACCAAATTATTTTCTATTTCTCTAATTCCTTTTCAATTAGTTTGTTAGCATTCTATAAGAAATAGTTCTTTTACCCCTTCACCATTTTTTTTATTCATTATTTATATTACTAGAGGCCAGGTGCACGAAATTAGTGCATGGATAGGGTCCCTAGCTCTGGCTGGTGATCAGAGCCAATCTGTGAGGCAACCAGCAGGGTGATCAGGGCCTGCGGGCTGGGAGCAACTCTTGCGTTGAGCGTCTGCTCCCTGCTGGTCAGTGTGTGTCATAGCGACCGGTTGTTCTGCTTGTTGTTCCACCATTCAGTCCGTCATTTGGTCAATTTGCATATTAGGCTTTTATTATATAGGATTACAGATTACTATTAGGTTCCTATTTTATTTAGTGGGTTGTGACATTTATTGTTTATTCTCGTACTTAAATTATGCCATATTTGGCTAGTAGGTATCCTTTCAACTGTTCCATATGTCCTTTTGTCATATTTCTATCATGTTTTGAATACTGTCTTATTGGCATAGGATGTTCTAGGTCCCATGTCTCAACTCTGGAATCAGTTATTTCTCCTAAAAAGCTAGTTTCTTTTTAATGGAGGATGACATATAGAAGCTCAGATCTGGGTGCTTGTTGTGCTCATTTTACTGGAATATCATTGCTTCTAGGCTCCTTTAGCAGACTAACACACAAAATAGATACACACATACCTGTATATCTACACTGTATATATACACAAACATCTATATCTATTTCTGTCCTTATATTTAGTAATTATCAGTTCATATCAGAACATCTGACCAGAGTCCATTTTTATAAACTCCTTCTCAGGTAGTGAGAAACCTGGTTCCTATTACTTGCTTTGTCCCTTCTCTGACTCCACCAGCTGCCTCCAAGACCCAGTCCTGTGGGAAACTTTCAAGCAGAGACTGGTTTTCTACTTGTTCCAGAGGGCATTGCATGGGAATTTGGATTTTTTTTCTTTTTGGTAATAGCTTTATTGAGATACTAGAGGCCCGGTGCATGACATTTGTGCACTGTGGGGGGGGGGGTGGTGGTGATCCCTCAGCCCGGCCTGTGCCCTCTCGCAGTCTGGGACTTCTGAGGGGTCCTTAGTGCTGCTGCAGAGGCGGGAGAGGCTCCCACCACTGCCACTGCACTTGCCAGCCATGAACCTGGCTTCTGACTGAGCGGTGCTCCCCTATGGGAGTGCACTGACCACCAGGGGGCAGCTCCTGCATTGAGCGTCTGCCCGCTGGTGGTCAGTGCGTGTCATAGCGATGAGTCATTCTGCTGTTCGGTTGATTTGCATATTAACCTTTTATTATATAGGATACTTTACATACCATACAGTTAACCCATTTATAGTATACTAAAGGCCCGGTGCACGAAAATCATGCACTCAGGGGGGGGGGGTGGTCCCTCAGACTGGCCTGTGCCCTCTCCCAGTCCGGGAGCCCGTGGGGGAGGTCCAACTGACAGTTTAGGCCTGCTTAGATCTACCTTTCAGGAAATGAATATTACATACAAAATTGTATCAGAAATTTTAGCCGGTTCATGGATATTAAGTGTTCTATATACGTATTGCAGTAAAACCCTCCAAAACTTGGTGGCTTCAGATAAAAATTGTTTTTTATCTCTCATGGTTCTGTAGGTTGCCTTGGCTTAGCTGGGCAATTATCACTCAGGCTCTGTATACATTTGTAGTTAGATGCAAGCTTCTGGGCTGGAGTAATTTGAAAGCTTAACTGGGCAGGAAGTCCAAGGTGCTTCTTCAGTTACATTATTTGGCATCCAACCAGGGTAGCTAGAATAGTTGGGAGCTGGCCCAATGTCTCTTCTCCTCCACATGACCTTTCCATGTGGTTAGCATGGATTTTCTCATAGTGTGGCAGTATTGGAATAGTGAGTCTTCATATATGGTGGCTCTCTGTCCCCAAAGTGAAGATCAAGATGCTCAGGTGGAACCTGCATATCTTTTTAGGACTTAGCCTTTGAAGTCCCAGAATATCATTTCTGCTGCATTGTTAGTCAAGCAAGTCACTATGGCCAGTAGAGATTCAAGGAGAAGGGAATTAGACTCCATTTCTCCATAAAGAATATTTGTGCAAAGGAAGAGAAAGAATTAGTGGCAGCTATGTTTAGATGCTATTTCCCACACCAAAGTTGAAAGCCTCTGACACACTGCTAAATTCAGTATAGTTGTACTATTTTCGAGCTTTAAAGATCATAGATTACTTTATTAACATATTAATCGTTAATTATTACACCCTGCATTTTTATCCACCAATGGCTTATTTCAACTGAAGTCCACGAGCAACAGAAAACCTGTTTTTTATTTTTAACTCCTATGCTCTTTAGATATATTCATTGTACCAAAATCTAGAGAAATGTTATACTGTCTTTCATTAGTCTTTATTAACAGTGAAAAGCAGAAGGAGTAATAAAATGCATTTTCAGGTCAAATTTTATTTAACCCTTTTCGGTCCAACCTTGAGGCTGACTCGACAGACCAGGCGCTAGGAGTAGGTCCAACGTCGAGCAATGAGAACATTAAAAAGTTCAACATTCAATCCCTTCAATTAATTTGGACCAGACTGTTTGAATTCCAAAAATAACATTGGACCGCAAAGGGTTAAAATACTTATGCTGAAGTTAACCAAGTAATACACTTTAGCTAAACATGAAATTAGTGCCCTTGTTTATGAAATTATCTTTTGCATTTTGCAGATAACTCAAGAGTAAAAAGATTTGGAGTGGCACAAAAGAACAAAATACATCACAAATTAGGTAAGATTATTTCTGACTTTTAATGTTTTAGAACCTCTGTTTCTAAATATAACTTAATTTTTCTCAAGTAAGGGAAATATTATTTGGATTAATTGGCAGATAAATTAAAACTACATATTTAATTTTTATGAATTTCATAGTAAATCATCACAGGACACCTGAGTTTCTTTATTGTCAATCTGTACTCATTCTTTGTGTCAGAGTAAGGAACATGATCCTATCTAGGCTAAGAATCTAGGATGGAGAATTCTATAAAATATAACTGCTAAGTAAATGGTATCCCTGACAACTTCATCACCTATTTTTCCCTAGTTCAATCCTAAATAAAGCAATAGCTTGGATAGCTAAATAGTAGCGTGGGAGCTGGGGCATCCATGTAAAAGCCCATGTGAGGATTAAAACTCCATGGTTCTTCCCCAAATAGATATTTGCCAGTCATGATTCATGGGACCTCTCATTTTTGTGGAATTAGAGTGGCTTTTATGTTTCTTCCTATACTTGGCTGTGAATGCTCCTGTGCTATGCCTGAAGAGAACCCGTATGAGTGGAGCTTTCTCAAGTTGCTTCAACCATAAACTTTCACATCTCAGTTAGTATTTTGGAAGCCCATCTGAAGAGAGACTGCTATACCTTATATTGCTTAATGCTTGTCTTGGAGTGGAATGATGAATAGGGTCAGGAATAGGCAAACAGAAGAAAAAAAATGTCCCTGGGCAAGGGCTCCAGTAACCGCAGAGGAAAACAAGCATTCCTAAAAACAGCAGGCAATTTCAGTGAGCTAGAACTTTTATAGTAGATGGACAACAATTGACAAAAGAAATATGAGCACTTTCAGAGGTTCAGTTATAGCATAGAAGACTTTCTGCTACTAAATTATTATTTTTCAGTTTAAAGAGTCAGCAAATGAACTGAATGTAAAAATAGTCACTATTGAGGACTCGGTTAGTAGCTAGTATTGACATGGAAGAAATTCCTCAAAGCAGAAATACAAAAGATGGAAGCTATGAGAAAAAAAGAAAGCCAGTGGAAATAACATTGGAGACAACAGACAAAATATGCAATTAATAGTTTAATCTGTAGTTTGAATGAGTTTATCAACTGGCAGACAGAATTATTGAAAAAGATACATCTCTATACATAAGTGAATAAAATTCCTAAATTTTAAGGAGAGAAGTTCCCTTACAGAAAGAAAAAGTTAAATGACTAGCACTGCCTATCTGTATAACAAAAGGCTATATAATAAAAGGTTAATATGTAAATAGACCGAATTGCGGAACAACCGAACAACTAAACAACCGGTTGCTATCATGTGCACTGACCACCAGGGGGCGTGCGTGAAACGTGGTGAGCGTTGGCCGCGGCATTATGGTGGAGCAGATGAGTGGGGGTGCCAGACAAAGGCAGGGTGCCTGTTGCTGTCATCGGGGCGAGCCTCTGGTGGTTACTGAAAATTCTTTGCTCCTGCACGACGCGCCCCGCCTGGCGCTCGCACCTGCTGCCGGCACTAGCCCCACTTGCACCCGCTGTCGGCGCCTAGTGCCAGCCCCGATCACTTGATGCTGTCAGTGGGTGCGAGTGGCGGCTGCTGGCCCCGATTGCCCCTGAGGGCTTCTCCACCTCCTCCTGCTCCTGAGGGGTGAGCGGGGCAGCAGCTGCCGCTTGCACCCGCTGATGGCGCCGGCCCCAATTGCTCCGTGTGGTCAGCGGGTGCAAGCGGGGCCAGCATCATCCGCACATGGGAATGGTGGCGGTGGGAGCGGCCTGCCGGCAGAGGGGACGG